AATAAGTTAAAACCGTATTTTTGCTAAAAATACGGTAAATATTAATACATATACACACAATTCTAGTGTAAGTTTTATAAATCTCAAACTAGTGAGGGAGAAATGTCGCAGCGAAACTGCGAAACGAACGCGACAATCTGTTGACTATCGCGCGGTTGAAGCGAGATATGCGCAACGTGGACGAACTCGTTCAAGCACTGTCCACCAAATTGTCGCTCGCTACAAGAGATACGACCAACTACATATCCGCCACGTTGCAGGGTTTGCACGAAAAATTGAACGAAACTGCGCGAGCGCAACGCGCGGTCAGATCGGACATTCTCGAACGTTCGCGAACCGAATTGAGAGAATTGAACGATCGGTACGACGCGTTGCTCGCTAAAGTCTCCAAGTTGGGTGGGTTCGTCGTAACCGAGTTGAACGATGGTAAACCAACAGCGCCCGCGAGCGAACCACCCGCAGCGCCCGCGAGCGAACCACCCGCAGCGCCCGCGAGCGAACCACCCGCAGCGCCCGCGAACGAATCACACGCAGCACCCGCGAGCAACGTTTCCGCCAACGGTGCGTTCACGAGCGAATCACCCGCAGCGCCCGCGAACAACGTTTCCGCCAACGACGCGCTCACGAGCAACGCGCTCGCTAACGTTGACTTCGCGCGAGCGAGCGCGAGCGTTCGCGACGCGCGAAAGAGATTAGCCGATGCGTTACGAGTTGCGCAAAATTTGGACACCGACGTGTCCGGGATCGCGAACAGAGAGCGCGCATTTTTCGACGGCGCGACGTCGTGCTCGCTCATAGCCGAACGTTTGAGCTCCGCGTTAACTCCACCGGACGCTACGAACCTTCCGAAAGGGTTGCTGTGTTACCGCAATTACGAGAGATCGTTGAAACGAGCACGAGACGAATTGAACGAACGCGTCGAATTGATAGCTCAACTCGAACGTTTGAGCGTTACTCTGGCCATTAGGGAATCGTTTGCGCGCGATTTGAACGATTACGCGCGTTGGTACTCTGTTGCAACATTCTCGGCTCCGAGAAACGTAGATTTTTTGAACTCGTTGTGCCACAAAAACGATTCGCGCAGTTACGACGCGTCGAGAACGTCGCGCTTCGACGTTATTTTGCGCGCGTGCGAACATCTAGTTGGCGTTAACGCGAAGCATATGGCGTTCGTGCTAGCGCTCACTCTCTACATGTTTACGTCTTTGAAACGAGACACGTTCGAGCGCCAGTTACTACTGGCGGCTTCGAATTCGAATCGAGCGATTTCGCGAATTCAACGTTCGAGCGACGCGAACGCGTTCGACGTTGGTTCAATTATGAGCGCGTTCGACGTTGTAAGCGACTTGTTGGAAACAGCTCGATCCAGAACCGATTGTCTAACGACGCGATTGTACGGTTACACACTCGCCTACGCTCTGTTGCTCGTTTGAACCGTTGCATTCGAGACGTCTCGATTTAGCGCGCGTAACATTCGCAAACGTTGATTCGAGTGTGGTTAACGCTGCGCAACGTTCGCGCTTGAAACGAGTACGAAAGACATCTTTGATTCGAATCGATCGGACTCTCATTATCGCGACACGATTCCGAACGACGCGGGAGTAACGACGACGCTCGTGGGAAAATGAGAGCCTCGTGATCGTCTTGTTTTCAAAAAGACAGACTTCGTTTTTTCGGTAACCGATTGCTCCTTTTTTCGCGCGAACGGAATTCTCGAAACAACTCGTTCGATCGACTCGTTCTCGAACGAACGGAACTCGCGGACGCGACAACGCTGAACAAGGTTACGTCTCGTCGCGACGAGACCGTTTGCTACGACGATCGATGTTCGATGATACGTTCAACGAAGCTGAGTACGATGTCGCGACCGTTCCGATGCTCACCGATTCGGCGCGTGATGCGTTCACGAAGCGATTCAACGCTCTGTCCGCCGAAGCGAACAAGGCCGAGAGCGAGAGCAACGTGGTTGCCGCGGACAAACACATAGAGGTCAGCGCTCTGACCGCGAGGTTTCACGACGAGTACAGTCTCAGTTTGGCACCGTCGGATCGCGCTCTGCTGCAGCGCGAAGTTTTCGCGCGATGCATGCAGGCGCTCAGTTTGCGCTCAGCCGAATTGAGCGGATTGGGCGATCTAGCCTTGTCGCTGGGAGAGAAGCGCAAATTGGAAGAGGATCTGCGCGCAGCTAAACGACGCATCGTCGAATCCGGAGATTCTTCCGACAACGGCGTCCAACTCGGCGATCCGAGAAAACCCAACGGTTTGTACGAATTCACGCCGTTGGAAGATCTGAAAATCGGTCTCGACGACTTACCGGGATACGAAACGCAGCACGGATACATGCTCAAATCGTACTTTGTTCTCGCGGACACTTCCGACGTTTCCGAAACCGTTGCGAAAAAGGCGCTGAAGTACGGATCGAACATATTGCTCCACGGTCCTCCCGGAACGGGAAAAACCGCTGCGGCCATGGCAATGGCCAAGTCGCTGGAACTCGATTACGTGTTCGTGAACGTGGAGAACCTACTCTCGGCGTACAGATCCGAATCGGAGAAGAATTTGCGAAATCTGTACGCGTACATGCGCGAATTAACCGCCGTTCGCGGTCGCAACGTTCTGCTGTTGATGGACGAAGTCGACGGTTTGGTAAAATCGCGCAGCTCTGGAAGTCTGAGCGGCGCTGATTACAGCGTGCTCACGCGATTTTTAACCATATTGGAACCCAACGACGGCAAGACCGATAATTCGTCCGTGTGCAGCGTGTTCACGACGAACCGCGTTGACAATATCGACGACGCGTTTAGACGACGGTGCGCGGAAGTGTTCTTCGGTAGACTCGGTGACGAAAATGCGCGCTCGAGACTTTGCGCGCGATTCTTCGAACGCGCTCTCGACGCGACCGACCGCACGCCCGAGGTTTTCCAAAAACTGGCCAACGGACCTTGTTCGAAGTGGGTGCCTGGCGATTACGTGCGCTTTTCGAACGAGAAGTTGCAACCGTTTCGACTCCGAACGTATCTTCGAGCGAACAACACGAGCGAAACGAAGTTTTTGAAACAATTCGCGCCTCGTGGAAACGATCGCGTTATACAGGTGCCGTTGCCGACGCTGAGCAAACGAGACATCGAGCAATTGTGCGACGATTACGACACAATCACGAGCGACAGCGTGTACAACGAATTGTACGCGAAATGGGACTCGTAAACGCGCCATTGTGCGCTGTGCGCTGCGCGCTGCGCGCTGTGCGCTGATGTACGAGGGAACAAATAAAAATGCGAACATTTGTAAATAACATTTCGTGTATGTATCTTTATTTATACAACTTTGTTCAATGCCACTCAGTTCGATACAATCATCGATCGTCGATACGTTGAATACGGTTACATCGAACGACATTGGTGCGAATACACGCGCTATTGTTTAACATTTCGCGCAAAACGACGTTGATTGCGCGAAATGTCAGACAATTAGTCGCCGCGGATAAGAGTTTAGCAAAATTACGCGCGCGGTACGTCGTCAGTTCCCCGGAACAAGTTTCACCCACTTGTTTCGATAACCTAATCTACGCGCGTCCGCGCGTGGGTGCGCGACTTGTTCCGATAACGACGAAGCCGCGTAGTCGCGCTAGTGCGAAACGTTGCGACGGTAAGTTACGCGATAACCTACCGGTCGTTGCGAGCGTCGTTCGCGACTCTATCGTTTCGCTTCGTTCGACGGTTCCTTTTCGCCGTCTTCATTCGGCGAAGACGGCGCGACAGATCTGACGACTCGGAACAACCAAGCACCGACCAGAACCAAACCGATCAATCCGACGAAAGCGAACAGATACGGTAACCACGACGTAATGGATTTGAGACTGTCGCTGGCGCCGCCGAGCAGACCTCCGGCTCTGTCCCACGCACTTCCGATCGTACCGCCCACAATTTCGTTCAAAGCGTCCAAAATGTCCTGGGATTCGCACTGCACGAAGGCATCGTCGGGTAAATTGTCGCGATTTACGTAATCAATGCTCTCGTCGTTCGTTTCGTTCCACACGCAATGAACGCACCGCACTTCGTCCGAATCCGTACACGCGGAATTTTCTGCGCGCATATTGCCGCGCAGAAGATCATTGTTGCATCCTTGTTTGTCACCCGGCTCCACGGGACAACTGCATCCAACGACGCGACATTTCTTCACGTTGGCGCCACCGCCACGGTACATGAAGCAACCCGTGTTGTCCGCGGCAACTTTCGCAGCGAGACTGTACAAAGCTGCAGCCGTAGCGGTGCCCGCGACCGCGAACGTGGCTCCGAGCACCTTCCATTTTCCCGTGCGTTGAGCGGTGCGCACCGTTAACGCAACGTCTTTGTTCAATCTGTTCGACCCGCTGACAATTTTAGCCAATTCTTCTATAGAATTTACGCGATCATTGTCAGCGATACCTAGATCCTTTCGAGCGCTCTTGATGTAATCGTTTCGTCGGAACACAGTGGAATCGGGAAACGCGCGAGCGATCTCTCGGTCCATGGGCGCGATCGCGCGCCTTTGCACAAACGACAGCTTCGAACCCGTTGCACTCTCAAGCGCAGAAGCGGCGTTGGCTGTGCGCAGCATGCGCGAAAACGAAGTACCTTCGGCTAAACCCACGTTCACGGTGTTGTTCGTGGTTCCCCGTAATTCCAACCGACCGAACGAATTGCGCAATCGTTCCGACGCCTTGGCCAAATCACCCAGTGCTTCCGACCATTTCGCTTGAGCGATATCTATCCTTCGCACACCGCTTTGGACGCTTTGCCCACGAACTTTGCGAATCCCGACATCGCTCGAACGTAGATCGCGCCGTTGACGCGGTATTCGCGATAACTCGAGCGCGAACGTTGGAATCGATTTTCGCGAGAAACGATCAATTGTTGCTAAACGCGCGAATTGCTGTCGACAGCGACGATATAGCGCGTTGTTTGCGGAGTGCGTGCTCTTGAGAGTCTTAAGAGGGTACTGGATATCGACTATAGAGACCTGTAAATCGACGTTTTAATATTTCGTTTTGTGCCGTATTTACTGCATCAAATCCAAAATGCTTCTACAGAAATAAGTAAATTATGCTAAGAGTTTGCTGTTGTTCTTTGGAATGTCAAAATTCAGCATAAATTTTT